TATAAACGATCGGAATGCTTCATCCACACGAATTTCGAGGATTCTAGCAATCCGTTTAAATCCAATGCTTGGAGAGGTTATGCATGACGGTTCCGACTTTAGAGTTTGTTTTCGTGTTTCTGAATGCACAAGCTTTGCCTTAGGATCTTAGTAATGAGACGCATCAATATCAGAAGCTGTAGAACAATCAGTTCCTTGTGTGATGGTATTGACGGACTTCGTGGAATAAATACAAATTGTATTTGTTCCATGTGTGACGGTATTGATGTGTGTGACGGTATTATTGATGGGTTTAGAATTCGCGACATAGTTACGATAGATTGCTATGGACGATAACGAATTCGAGAGATGGCTGGCACCATTTGGTTTGATGCATGGCACTGATACTGTTCTAGCTTGTGAGTGTGGAGGGAGTGTGAAACTGGTGAGGCGTGGAAAAGCAAAAGACTATCGATGTGGAAAAAGACACTCTGGGAAGAAGCTGGAGTATCTGGCCGGTACATTTCCGGAAGGTGCTCATTTATCTCCGAGGGAGGCATTCCAGCTGTCATTGGTCGACTAGATGAATTTCCTCTCTAAGGTTGCAGTACACTACTACATTGATCATGCAGTGCGCATTGGTGGGCCTGGAAATAGATGAGACAGTGCTAACTCAACGAAAATATATATTGAGAGAGTGGCGGAACAGCAGTCGACCTTCGGTGGGGTGGAAAGAAACAGCAATTAGTGTTCCATGGCAGCGGCAAAAGGAAGAAATGCAGATACTCTCCTGCCTAGCGTTGGTGATAAAGTTTTGCCGAGCACCACCGTTGTGTCCTAGGTATGGTCAGCACTGGCAGTATCAAAAATATACCGCAAAATTATCACTACCCAGCAGTGAATCATTCGAAAAAGTTTGTAGATATGGATAATGGGGCATGCACTAATGCAGTAGAGTCGGTGTGGCAAAAAATTCAGATCCTGATCGTAACTTGTTGTCAGCGTATGTAGAACAGTGCATCTGGGAAACGAAATTTGGAGAACAAGACCATTTATTCAACTTGTGGAAGCAGATAGCAGAAATGTACTCTATATAATGCGGGGCTAGAGCACAACTTGAATCCAACAGCCCTCTTTAAGGCCATGAAAATTATAAACCAATCCTATTGTCATAGATTCACAAAAGTGTCATTCACCCTTATTGAGGACCATTGTTTGACGCCTTAAATATGGGCATTCATCACAGGAAATGTTGCACCTGGGTAGTCGCAGAATGAGAAGACAATATAACACTCACGAGAGAGGGGATGAGATAAAATACAACAAATGACAGATGCAACCTAATCGATGGACTCAAACATTCGAATGAGAGATCTTCCCTTATTTCAGCTGTTTTTCATGAGAATTANCAATATGGCTAGAGAGTACCCGATCTAGGTTTTCGGTATTTACTAAGCAGCAATAAAGAGTGAGTAACTGATGATACGAACTCAAATGTGAACTATGATGAAATGTAACACAAACAAATAATGTATTATTTTTTATATTAAACCCAACAGTTAATTTAACAACTTTTTCCCTAGTTCAATTATAAGCAGATATTCTCGACGCCATGCTACTCAAAAGTGTTGTCAGTAAGAATGACACAGATGAGCACAAAGTGAACAAGCTGATTGTGAGGTGTTCTCACGAACGTGCGAAATCATCAAAATGCTTTTCACATGAACACAAACGAGCAAATTTCGCAAGCATGCATAAAGGATGCTGCAATTTATGCAAAGCCATAAAACACTGCGGCCATCCAAATCACAACCATTGAACTATGTTTACGAACATAATTTAATCTCTCCTCATACACCATCGGAATAACAACTCCAAAAACTGACTCATCCGTTTGACATGTTGTTTGCGGCTCGTCACAAGTTTAACGAACTAATCAAATGAAATTCACGTGGACATCAGCTGATTTCAACCTTTTGTTTTTGCTTGATTCATTCTTTGTGAATGGCTTCTTTTTTGTCAAGCGACAAATAATGCTAACTTTATGTTTGGGTTTTCTTCACGTTGAAATTCACTTGAACTGCACTGAAGACAGATGGCGGTAACGGTTAAAAACACCAAACCCAAAGACCTTCTTAGGAATACACGTTAAAGCGGTTATATAGTAGGGAAAGATGCTGAGATGAAGTTGAAGCAGCCATATCGTTTGATTATAACACTGAATCCAGGTTTAATCTCCGCTTGGAAGCGATTCGTGCTTTCCACTTGATACCAAACTAATACGAGCACGGTACCCCA